CGGATGGATCACCTGAAGTCAGGAGTTCGAAACCAGCCTGGCCAACATGGCGAAAACCTGTCTCTACTAAAAAAGTACAAAATTAGCCAGGTGTGGTGGTGCATGCCTGTAATCCCAGCTACTCATGAGGCTGAGGCAGGAGAATCGCTTGAACCTGGGAGGTGGAGGTTGTAGTGAGCCAAGATCATGCCATTGCACTCCAGACTGGCCAAAAAGAGCAAAATTCCATCACAAAAAGAAAAAAAGAAAGAAAAGAAAACCACAAGCCAATATCCTTGATGAAATAGACCCCAAAACCCATAACAAAATACCAGCAAATCAAACCCAGTTAATTTACCATGGTCAAGCTGGCTTTATTCCTGGGATGCAAGGCTAGCTTAACATACACAAATCAATAAATGTGATTCATCAGATGAACAGAATTAAAAACAAAAACCATACGATTATCTTAATAGATGCAGAAAACGCCTTTGATAAAATCCAATATCCCTTCATGATAGAAATCTTCAACAAATTAGGCAGTCAGGGAACATATCTCAAAATAATAAGTGCCATCTGTAACAAACCCACAGACAGCATCATACTGAACAGACAAAAGCTAGAAGGATTCCCCTTAAGAACAGGAACAAGACAAGGATGCCCACTTTTACCATTTCTATTCAACATAGTACTGGAAGTCTTAGCAAGGGCAATCGGGTGCGAGGTGTGGTGGCTCACACCTATAATCTCAGCACTTTGGGAGGCCAAGGCAGGTGGATCACCTGAGGTCATGAGTTCAAGAACATCCTGGCCAACATGGCAAAACCCCATCTCTATTAAAATTACAAAAATTAGCTGGGCTTGGTGGTGTGTGCCTGTAGTTCCAGCTACTCAGGAGGCTAAGGCAGGAGAATCACTCAAACCTAGGAGGCGGAGGTTGCAGTGAGCCTAGATTGTGCCACTGCACTCTAGCCTTGAGACTGTGTCTCAGAAAAAAAAATTTTTTTTGAAAGAAATCATAGATGATCCAAACAAATGGAAAAACATTCCATGCCCATGGATAGGAAGAATCAATATCATTAAAATGGCCATTATGCCCATAGCCATTTACAGACTCAACACTATCCCTATCAAACTACCAAGGTCAGTTTTTCACATAATTAGAAAAATCTATTCTAAAATTCATACTGAACCAAGAAAGAGCCCAAATAGCCAAAGCAATCTGAAGCAAAAAGAACAAAACTAGAGGCATCACATGACCAAACTTCAAATTATCCTGTAAGGCTGCCATAACCAAAACAGCATGATGTTAGTATAGAAACAAACACACAGATTAATGGAATAGAGTAGCGAACCCAGAAATGAAGCTACACACCTACAACCATCTGATCTTTGACAGAGTTGACAAAAATAAGCAATGGAGAAAGAACTCCCTATTTAATAAATAGTGTTACGATAACTGGCTATCCATATGCGGAAGAATGAAACTGGACCACTGCCTTTCACCATATGCAAAAAGTAACTCAAGCTGGATTAAAGATTTAAATATAAGACCTCAAATTATAAAAACTCTAGAAGAAAACCTGGCCCTGGCAAAGATTTTATGGCTAAGTCCTCAAAAGCAACTGCAACAAAAACAAAAATTGACAAGTGGGACCCAATTTACCTAAAGAGCTTCTGCACAGCAAGAGAAACTATCAACAGAGTAAACAGGCAACCTACAGAATGGGAGAAAATATTCTCAAACTATGCATCTGACAAACGTTTAACATCCAGAGTCTCTAAAAAATTTAAATCATTCAAGAAGCAAAAAACCACTCCATTAAAAAGTAGGCAGAGGACATGAACAGACACTTTTCAAAAGAAGACATACAAGCAGCAACAAACATATGAAAAAATGTTTCTACATCACTAATCATCAGAGAGATGCAAATCAAAACCACAATGAGATACCATCTCACACTAGTCCAAGTGGTTGGTATTGAAAGGGCAAAAAAACAACAGATGCTGGTGAGGTGTGGAGAAAGGGAATGCTTATACACTGTTGGTGGGAATGTAAATTAGTTCAGCCACTGTGGAAAGCAGTTTGGAGATTTCTCAGAGAACTTAAAACAACTACCATTTGACCCAGTGATCCCATCACTGGGTATATAGCCGAAGGAAAAGAAATCATTCTACCAAAAAGACACATCCATTCATATGTTCATCACAGCACTGCTCGCAATAGCAAAGATATGGAATCAACCTAGGTGCCCATCAACAGTGGACTGGATAAAGAAAATGTGGTACATATACACCATGGAATACTATGCAGCCATAAAAAAGAATGAGATCATGTCCTTTACAGCAACACGAATGCAGCTGGAGGCCATTATCCTGAGTGAGTTAACATAGGAACAGAAAACAAAATACCACGTTTTCACTTAAAAGTAGTAGCTAAACAGTGAGTACACATGGACATTAGAATGGGAACAATAGAAAAAAACACTGGGAACTACTAGAGATGGGAGAGAGAGCTGGTGGCAGGGGCTTAACTACTACCTACTGGGCACTATGCTTACTACCTGGGTGACAGGTATGAATGATCCTATTCATACCCCAAACCTCAGCGTCATACAATAAACTCATGTAACAAACCTACACTTGTACACCCTAAATCTAAAATGTTGAAAGTATCTTTTCTGCCTCTCAATTGCACATTTTTGCTGTCTAATGACCTTTCTCTTTAACATGAATATTATGCCACTCCTTTCCCTTTTCCAAAGAAGAGAGTAAGAACAAAAAGAACCTTAGGAATCATTTAGTCCAAACACCTCATTTTACAGCAAAGGAATTGGAGGCCCTGAGGGTTGGAGTGACTTGTCCAAGTTCCAACTACCAATTAGTGGCAGAGCCGCAGCAAGTGCCCAGGTTTTAATACCCACAGGCTGAAAACCCTCAATCCTTCACAGCTTCATAAACTAAACTTTTGATTATACAGCACTATTTTTCATTGGGATTCTCTCTCACTGCACTATAAACAGAAGCAATTGATAATTTGTCCCACATATTTTCTCATAATTTCCCCTCATATCACCAGTACTGGCTAGAAAAAGCCATGTGTAGAAAAGGTTTGCCCAGTGCATTGCACAGGAATTAGCTGTTGAAGGAGCAGCCCACACTGTGCCTTCTTTTTTTTTTTTTTTGAGACGGAGTCTTGCTCTGTCACCAGGCTACAGTGGCACAATCTCGGCTCACTGCAACCTCTACCTCCTGGGTTCAAGCAATTCTTCTGCCTCAGCCTCCCGAGTAGCTGGGACTATAGGTATGTGCCACCACATCCGGCTAATTTTTGTATTTTTAGTAGAGACGGGGTTTCATCATGGCCAGGATGGTCTCGATCTCTTGACCTCATGATCCACCCACCTCGGCCTCTTTATCTTTTCACCTGGGGCCTCAGGTTCCCTGATATATCTGTTGAAAGGTGAGAGTAAGAACAGGTGTGGCACAATTGTTCAGAGTTGCTTGTTCAATGTTTAAAGAGCTCGACAGATGATTTCCTCAAGTCTCTTCCAGACTATATATTTTATTATTATTATTTTTTTTTATTAGAGATGAGGTTTCACCGTCTTGGCCAGGATGGTCTTGATCTCCTGACCTTGTGATCCGCCCGCCTCGGCCCCTCAAAGTGCTGGGATTACAGGTGTAAACCACCGCGCCCAGCCCAGACTATATTTTTTAATACACAAAACGTAAACTCACAAGTGCTGTTTGCCCCTGTTTGCCATAGGATATTACAACAGGCTGCAGTGCAGTGGTGCAATCCGGGCTCACCGTAACCTGTGCCTCCTGGGTTTAAGCGATTCTCTTGCCTCAGCCTCCTGAATAGCTGGGATTACAACCACCCACCACCACACCCAGCTAATTTTTGTATTTTTAGTAGAGACAGGGTTTTGCCATGTTGGCCACACTGGTCTTGAACTCCTGACCTCAACTGATCCACTCACCTCAGCCTCCCAAAGGGCGAGCCACCTCACCCAGCTGAATGCATTCCCAGGTCTTATGACTGATTTTATGCCAACTCCCATTTATAATCAAGGAGAGGCCTGAGAAGCCATAATTTGATAAGAAACCACAACTATGTGTTTATCCTTTAAGTTATAAAAGTGCCTGATAACCAAAGATTTCACATAAATTACAAAAGACCGCTTTGGGAATAAATATTCCCTGATATTAGACAAACAATATTGTAACTGCCTAATAAAAGGTTATTTGTTTATGTGTCCCCTGTGGGAGGAGGTTGTCTCTAAAATAACTAGACTTAATATCCCATGTCATGGTTTTTTTTCTGAAAATCTTTAAGGGGTACCTTTGTGCCCAGCAAGTACCTGTTAAATAATTGCAGCACAACGTGCACTTGAAGGATGTAAGAGTGACTGTTTTTTTTGTTTTCTTTTTTTTGAGACGGAGTTTCGCTCTTGTTACCCAGGCTGGAGTGCAATGGCGCGATCTCGGCTCACCGCAACCTCCGCCTCCTGGGTTCAGGCAATTCTCCTGCCTCAGCCTCCTGAGTAGCTGGGATTACAGGCACACGCCACCATGCCCAGCTAATTTTTTGTATTTTTAGTAGAGACGGGGTTTCACCATGTTGACCAGGATGGTCTCGATCTCTTGACCTCGTGATCCACCCGCCTCGGCCTCCCAAAGTTCTGGGATTACAGGCGTGAGCCACCGCGCCCGGCAAGAGTGACTGTTAAGGCAGCTGACTTGTGTCACAAACTGTCACCCAATCCTCTAAGCTTCAGTCCTTGGACATTCAAAACACCTCAGAGTTCCAGGACTAGTGCCATCGTATGAATTAATAATGCTGCTTCACGTCACAGCTCTGCCACCAAACTCTCCTCAACCTTCTTTCTCCAAATACTGGCCAGGTCCAAATTAACTGTGAAATCAGAGAAGAGGAGAACCTGAGATGGGGCAGGCAAGTGATATTCACTGCCTACCACCAGCATGCAGAATCAAGTGTGCGGTAGGGCTCAGGCTGATGTTAGAATATATTTATTGCTACATTTATATACAATTATATAAACAGCTCAGACAGGAAAGAAATGTTGCATCGATTTCTGCAGATTCCACCACCATGTGCACAGAAATGGAGCTGCTCATCACTGAGTTTGTTCTTGGATTGAAGCCATATATTTTTTGAAAAAGTGGGAAATTCTTGGAAATCCTCTCCATAGATTCCTCCTTACAAGCTAGTCATGCAGAAAAAAGTGGGTTCTCAGAAGCTGATGCCTTCCAGCATCTGTTTGGGGAATAGAGTCTTAAAGATGGGGTGCAGTAGATGCTGGCTTGGGACTGCAGGGTGCCGTGCGAGGTCCCAAGTCCTGGCCCATCTTGCTAAGGTCTGTCTTTAGGAAAGGCAATTGAAAGGGGCTTGGAGACAGAGAGAACAGCAAGAAAGGGAAATCCAACAGTTAACGGAGATGAGGAAAGAACCATCGGCCAGGGCCCTGGTTGAGGGAATACTGGTCCACCCAGTTCCAGCTGAGATTGCAGACTTTGGAGGATACACACATTCAGAACACCACGTATGTCCTTACCCTAAAGCTTGCCATACGTCAGTAGCCAGGGGCCTGCATGAAGACACAGAAAGGGAATAGGAAAGTCAGGCAAGAAAGAAGAAAACTCGAACACTCATATTATCAAAATTCATGCCTTTTTCAAAAGGCATGACCCTGAAAGTCCTTGCACATTTTGTAAGTTAACATTTAGTCATGGTTAGCTGATGGTTGAGGGATGAAGGGGAATAGAATGCCACTGAGGAAATGCAGTGATGTACAGATCGCACCAAAATAAAGGTGCGTCCACAAACTCTGCACTCTGACCTCAGCCTGGCTAGAATTACTTTTGGCCGGAAAAGGAGTCTACCATACAGATTTTGCAATGTTCTGATCCAGAATTATGATGTGGATATAAGATCACAGCATAAACTCTCTTTCACATCACAACCACATACACCTTCGTGACGTGAATCCCAAGGGAAAGCGTTGAGCAGCCATGGGGCATGTATGCCCAAGGAATAAGTTTACACCAGCTCCATCGGACCCACCTCAGGCCACTTCCCACCTCAGGGATCCAGGAGGGAGGATCTGCAGATTGGATCTAATCTGACCTCCTCAGCTAAAATCAGCCCAGAGCCTCAGGGAAAGGACAAGTTCTGCAGGTTGAGAGCAAAACGCTCACGTGTCTAAATACACCAGACTGTGCCAGCCTTTGAGGCTGATTAGTCATTTGGGAACAGTCTGATCCCAAGGCTATAGGGGTTCTGTCCATGGAGACACCAGTCAGTTCTATCTTGTTCATGGCTTCATTTTGGTTTTGAGACAGGGTCTCGCTCTGTCACCCAGGCTCAAGTGCAGGGGTAGGCTCTTGGCTCACTACAGCCTTGATCTCCTGGACTTAAGCAATTCTCCCACCTCAGCCTCCCGAGTAGCTGGGACCACAAGGATGCACCACTATGCCCAGATAATTTTTTGTAGAGCTAAAGTTGTGCCCAGGCTGGTCTCAAACTCCTGAGCTCATGCAACTCACCTGCCCCGGCCTCCAAAAGTGCCGGGATTACAGGCGTGAGCCATTGCTCCTGGCCTGCCCATGGCTTTAGATGTCACCTTTAATTCCTTACCACCATAATCCTGCAGGCCCCTAGTCACGAGGCATGCAGGATGACAGTGCTGTGGAGAAGCACTGGGGACAGTGGGAAGGACCAGAACATCACTCAGAGTCCCTGTTCTTTTTATTTGTTCAATGACTTCATAATCAGTTATAGAGGGGCCCAGCAGGTCTTCCAAGGTGGCCAACTATGTGACATTTCAAGGTGGAGGATGTGGCAATCCCCAGCTCCGCGGATCCCTTCATAAATTCATCTCTAGATAATTCAAAATCTCTTTCTGTCGTTTGATCTTGACTTTTCTGATGAGTCATGCAGAAACTTTCTTCTCCTATTTCTGACGACAATAGCTCAGAGTCAAACTCACTTAAAGGATTTGCTCTAAAAAGAACATTAACAGATGAAAATCAAGGAAGAAAAATTATAAAAGATTAGGTAAATTTTACCTTGGGGAGTTTTACTAATCAACAAAATGGAAAGAGTTACATCAGTGAATTTCTGCACTGGAAGAAAGGGCTAAAGATAAATAACTAAGAAGAGTATTGTTTGTGGCAATCTATGGCACATTAAGAATGTGCTTTAACCCAGGATTTTAGTTCAAATTCCAGAAATAAGACTAGCTGGAGTCTATGGATTCTCAGCTAGACCCCTTCCAAAGCGAGTGAGAGCAAAAAATGATGGATGTGTTGTAGCGTTTCAAGTGGACTTTGACATAAGGAAAGTGTTTTGGCAGTGTCATGAAATATCAGAGAGAATCTTGCATGACTGACTTTAAACTCACTTCAGAGCAGTCCAAAATTCAAAGCCAAACAAGCAGATTACTTTAAAAAATTCCCCACCTTATCTGAACACATGTGACCATTTTTTGTCACATAAATAAATCTAAAACATAGTATTTCTATAAAGGACATTGGTTCTACATCTTTAAGTTTTATCTCAAATATATTCACATTTAGCTAGAGGGAGGTTTACAGAACTTGGGGAGACTTAACCAGCAAGTTGGGGGAACTCAATGAACCATTCAAGATCTACAACATAAACAACATTATTGTGGTTTTATTCAGAAATGGGATGAGTCAAATAGCCTCTGCCCAAAAAAGTAAAGAATTTAAAAACAGCCTATTGTCATGGTAATCATATTGCAAAATGATTTTAAAATATTACCAAATTGAGGTCAGTACATAATACTATATTAACCTAGCTTATGAACCAATTCTTTAATTCTTCTACTCCAGGAATCCCCAACCCCTGGGCCAAGGCCCAGTGTGTGGCCTGTTAGGAACCGGGAGACACAGCAGGAGGTGAGCGGTGAGCAAGCATTATGGCCCGAGCTCCACCTCGTGTCAGATCAGCAGCGTCATTAGATTCTCAAAGGAGCAAACCCTGTAGTGAACTGCGCATGTGAGGGTTCCACGTTGCACACTCCTTACAAGAATCTAATGCCTGATGATTTAAGGTGGAACACTTTCACCCCAAAACCATCTCCTCTACCCCCCAACCCCATTCCCAGATTGTGGAGAAACTGTCTTCCATGAAACCAGTCCCTGGTGCCACAAAGGTTGGGGACCACTGTTGTACTCAATGTGCTTGTACGGAACGTCATTATTTATTTATTTATTTATTTATTTTGGAGCCGGGGTTTCACCATGTTGGCCAGGATGGTCTCAATCTCTTGACCTTGTGATCCGCCCGCCCTGGCCTCCCAAAGTGTTGGGATTACAGGCGTGAGCCACTGTGCCTGGCCTCGGAACTTCATTTTTAAGCAAATCTAAATATGCCTTTTTTTTTTTTGAGACAGTGTCTCTGTGGCACTGTCTTGGCTCACTGTAACCTCCACCAAGCAATTCTCCTGCCTCAGCCTCCAAAGTAGTTGAGACTACAGGCATGCGTCACCACACCTGGCTAATTATTTTTGTATTTTTAGTAGAGATGGAGTTTCGCCATGTTGGCCAGCCTGGTCTCAAACTCCTGACCTCAGGTAATCCACCTGCCTCCTCCTCTTAAAGTGCTGGGATTATAGGCATAAGCAACCACACGGGGCCTGAATATGTTTTATTTAAAAGAAGAAAAAAACCTCCTAGCAGAACATAAGTGTCACGTGAGAACTTGCACTATGATAGTTTCATTCTCAATGCTCAAGAGGGCTCTTTCTAAAGGTAAGAGAATGCTCTAAAGTAGCAGGTCCAATCAGCTCACCAAGATTACAGGTAAAACATCACTGTAATAAACTCTAGCGGACCTCAAAATTATTATATTGGAGGATGATGTTCTGGCTTGGCAAAGAGTCCAAGAGATGCAAACTATTAAGAAAGAACCCAGAGGGGATAGAATCAGAGGCTGTAAAGATAAAGGTTGCTCTTGGTCAGTTCCTTTGACTTGAAATTCACAGGCCCTGTGGATGAATAGATTCAGGTCCCACCAGCATCCTAGCAGTGGAAGGCACAGCAGGTCTCGTGGGCAAGTGGGCTGGCCCTGGTCATGGCTGCTGGTTATACTTACCTAGTGAGGGGGGGAGCCTTCTTCCTAAGGGTTACATTTGCTTTATGCTGCTTTGGCAAGAGCGCATCTGGAACAATGCATACAGTTTGGGTCCCCACCTTTCAAAAGAGACATTAAGAGGTTAGAAACCATTTAGCAAAGGAACACAGTAGAAAGCTGAATGGGCAGGCTGACTGCTTGCTCAGCACATTGTAATAGCAGAAATGCCTTCGTCAGCCTGGATTATGTAGGGCCTGTTACTGTCAAACTCCTGCCTAATCTTTAACTTCTTTTTCTTTTTTTCAATCCACCTTTGAAACTCCACTATTAGAATGTGGAAATAAGAATAACTTTAAATCTTCCTTTTAAATAGATGCTAGACTTCTAATAGTGTAACAACTCTACACCAGCTAACTAGTTTCTTTCCGTAATAAGATTTCTTATTTAGAATAATAGGTCGTCTTAAAGCTATAAACATCAGAACTTCATGTCAAAGTAATGTGTTCTACCAGATTTTATATTTTATTTGACGTTCTCTGATGATTAAGTTAGGCATTAAGTTACTTTCAGGTAGTAACCAGACTAATGGATCCAAAATACTTTTTAGTGCCTACTCTTTAAATCTATAGTTGCTATGCTTTTGAATAAGCAAATTCTCAGTGCCTACCTACCAAAAGACTGGATAGGGGGCTGGGCACGGTGTCTCATGCCTGTAATCCCAGCACTTTGGGAGGCCAAGGTGGGCGGATCACAAGGTCAGGAGTTCGAGACCAGCCTGACTAACATGGCGACACCCTGCCTCCACTAAAAATACAAAAATGAGCTGGGCGTCGTGGCGCACACCTGTAATCTCAGCTACTCAGGAGGCTGAGGCAGAATTGCTTGAACCCAAGAGATGGAGGTTGCAGTGAGCCAAGACGGCACCACTGTACTCCAGCCTGGGCAACAGAGCGAGACTCTGTCTCAAAAAAAAAAGTCTGCTAAAAGAGAAATGACTAAATCAACAGTGATATATCTATAATGGAAT